CCACACTATGCAAGTTCAGTCAGAGTGCTCTGACAGAAAAGTCACACTTAAAAATACGGGTATCTTCCCAGAATACTGAGATTGGAGATCTTGAAAAGCAAATTGCAACACTGAGGTGGATTGATAACATTAAAAAGGACGTATTGATCACTGAGCAGAGTTTAGTGGGGGCAGGTAGTGGAGTGGGAGGAGATGAGACAGCTGTGACAAGAAGCTGGGTAACAATTGGGTGAGATAGCAAAGTGGGATAAAGACGAATGGTGTTGCCAGTCCTGATTTTGTATAGCCCAGCAGAATGTGTCATACTGAGCGGAAAGACAGTGGGAGATTAGAGGTGGCTGAAATATTGGTGGTTGGAGTTCTTAGAGCACTGCACCAATTTTACGCTTGGGTACAATCTTTATAGCCGAGATGGATTGTACCTGAATAGAAGAAGGTACTTTGTGCTGGGGGAAAGGATGGCTAGAATGTTGGAGGGGGTTTTAAACTAGGAGCATGGAAGGAGCGTCAAAGAAGGATAAATGTGGTAGGTAGTATAAAAAAGTGAGGGAATTCAGCTGAAATCAAGGAGAGTGGAGATGGTGAGAGTAGTAAGCTTAGCACACATGGCAACAAGGTATTAATTACATGTTGTTCAAATAAACCTCAAGAAACAAATGGTTACTTTAAATGTCTGCTTGCTAATGCAAGAAGCTTGTGTAGGAAAATGAGAAGCTTGAGATAGTGACATACAAGGAACAGTAGGACATAATTTGGATTACTGAGACATAATGAGATGAAACACTTGATTGGGTTATTCATATAAATGGATATACATTATTTAGAAAGGATAGAAAAAAATAGAAAGGGGGAGTGGGGTATGATATTGAATAGAAATTGTATGTGGTGATACATGTGAGGATGTCGAAGCCTTACGGTTAAAAATATGCATAGGAGAAAACTGGTGATATCCATTAATAGTATAAAATTATTATTACAATATTACAAGCCCTCAAAAATTAATACTGATGGGAAAGAGTGACTACTATCTCAAATTTATAAGACTGCACAACTGGATATTTTGATAATCATTGGATAATTTAATTATCCAGTAATTGATTGGTCCAGAGGTACTAATGGTACAGTTAAGGAAACAGGTTTTTGAACCTGAGAAATTATATTTTCATATCTCGATTAGTAAAAGCGCCAACTGGAAGAGATGTGTCTGGATCTTGCTATAACTAGTTATATTTATACATAATACAGATTAAGAAACAGCACACGCATAAAAATAAAATTTACATTTTATAAGGCTACTTAAAATCACCTATATCGACAAACTGTCAGGGTTTCTTTGCTGTTTTAATGGACAACCCTTCCTTTCTCTGTGCCTGCGCTTTCAGCTGATTTTAATGATCAGCTCCTTCATTAATGTTGCCATTATTACTCACCTGATTGTAGTAACCAACCCTACTGCTAATCAGTGCAGCCTATTTAAGCAGCAAGTCCCAGTATCTCCTTGCCCTTGCGTGGTTTCCTGTTTCCCAGAAGAGTCCCTGTTTCCTGTGTGTTCCTGGTTCCTGACTTCTGGCCTTGTCCCTGACTTCTCTGCTCTTCGTTCTCCTGATCCTGGCTCCTCTGACTTCCCGCTTTGGTGCCTGACACCTGCTTGCCTCCTGGACTTTGCTTTTGGTTATTACTTTATTTGCTATTTATAATAAAGGTGTTTTGCATCTAGTTCTGTCTCTGTCTGGTTCCTGGTCCCTCTCAGGTTTTTTTTTTTTTTTAAAAAAAACAAATTATTTCTCCTTACTGTTTTGATTTATTTTAATATTTTGTAACTTTTTTCCCCTTTTCATATATATATATTTTTTCTCTTTGGATATATTTAAACTTTGTTCCTTTTTTTTTCTTCTATATTTTCACCTTGCTGGTATTATTTAAAACATTTTCCCTCCCTTTTTTTTTATTTATTTATTTTTTTTCCTCTCTTGTTGTTTCTATTCCCCTCCTTGTGGGTGCTGCTGCTGCTGAGCTAATTAGGGGGAGTGCCCCTTAATTTCCACCTGTGTGGGATTTGTATTGCAAATATAAACCCACTACTGACTCACAGAGCTTGCTCACTGGAGTTTGCTTGAAAGTAGGCTATTTCAAGTAGTCTCTTTTAAGTAGGAGTTAAAACAACAGGAGTTGAAACTACAAGGGAGTTTAAACCAAGAGGGTTAACTTTTTTTTTTTTTTTCACTTGTGTTTTTTGTTACTGGGGATGAGTGCTAGCAAGATTGCAAATTTAACTCAGTGCACATCATGCCGCATGTATGCATGCCTGGATGATTCTGTCCAGGGTGTGGTGGTTGTGAGCGAGTGGCATTTCTGGAAGCTCAGATTAGAGATCTGGAGAGGCAAATTGTAACACTGAGGGAGATTGACAATCTTGAGAGGAGTCTGCTGCTCACTGAGCAGAGTTTAGTGGGGACAGGTAGTGGAGAGGGAGGCGATAAGACAGATGGGGAACAGGCACGTAGCTGGGTGACAGTGGGGAGAGGAAGCAGGGGGGGAGGGAAGAGAAAAGGTTTAGCTAGTCCTGATCTCATGCAGCCTAACAGATTTGCCCGTTTGAGTGAAGATGTTGGGAGCATCAGCTCAGGAGTAGCTGTACTGCAGGAAGCTGTTCCTGCTAACAGCCGTGGAAACAGCCCCTCTAGTACGGGTGGGGTTGAGAGGGTAAGGAAGGCTAGACAGGTTGTGGTGGTAGGGGACTCTATTATTAAGAGAGTAGATAGGGTAATCTGCCACTCTGATCGACTCAACCGGACAGTTTGCTGTCTCCCGGGTGCTCGGGTCCGGCATGTTGCCGACAGAGTGGAGGGATTATTGGGAGGGGCTGGAGATGACCCAGCTGTCATGGTCCATATTGGTACCAATGACAAAGTCAGAGGAAAATGGAAGGTCCTAAAGAATGAGTTCAGGGAACTAGGAAGTAAGCTTAAGAAAAGGACCTCCAAGGTAATTTTTTCAGAAATATTACCTGTGCCGCGCGCTACAGCAGAAAGGCAGCGGGAGATTAGAGAGGTCAATGCGTGGCTAAAGTCTTGGTGCAGGAAAGAGGGTTTTGGGTTTTTAGAGCACTGGGCCGATTTTGCGCTTGGGTACAACCTGTATAGTCATGATGGATTGCACCTAAACGGAAGAGGGTCTGCTGTGCTGGGGGATAGGATGGCTAGAAGGTTGGAGGAGATTTTAAACTAGTGGTAGGGGGGGAGGGTCAAAGCAATCTAGAAAATGGAGATATGATGGAAAAGAGATGGGCTTTAGCTCAGAACAAAGGGGGTGGAGATGGGGGGAGGGGAAAACTCAGAACAGAGGAGGTATGTAATATTGATAATTCACAAAAAGTACAAAAGACTCATGATAATATTAAATGTATGCTTACTAATGCAAGGAGCCTATATAACAAAATGGGGGAACTAGAGGCAATAGCATACACTAAACAATATGATATAATAGGCATAACAGAAACATGGTGGGATGAGACACATGACTGGGCAGTTAATTTAAATGGGTATACGTTATTTAGGAAGGATAGGAAAAACAAGAAGGGTGGTGGGGTATGTTTATATGTCAACCGTGAGTTAAAGTCAAATCTTAGGCATGTGGAGTGTGACGAGGAAAAGGTGGAGGCTTTATGGGTAGATATCTGCTTGGGGAAAACAAAGGGAAATCAATTATTGGTTGGGATATGTTATAAACCACCTAATGTAAATATTAATGAGGAAGAACAGCTGTTAGAGCAAATTGAGAAAGCTGCAAATCGAGGTAACACGTTAATTATTGGAGATTTTAATTATCCAACATTAAATTGGGAAAGAGGAACTAGTACTTCAGCAAGGGAAATCAGGTTTTTGAATGTGTTAAATGACACCTTTATGTCACAACTGGTACAAGCACCAACTAGACAGGATGCTTGTCTGGATCTTGTCATAACAAACAATGTTGATCTTTTAACCAACATTCAAGTAGGGGAGCATTTGGGAAATAGTGATCACAATATGGTAAATTTTGAAATAAACTCATAAAAGCAAAAGCAGGTGGGGTATACTAAAACATATAATTTTAAAAAAGCCAATTTCAATAAGATTAGGGCAGCTCTACAACATATCGACTGGCATAAACTCCTTAGTGATAAAAACACTGAGGATAAATGGAAACTATTCAAACATATATTAGAAAGGTACATTTCTCAGTATGTACCATTGGGTAATAAATATAAAAGAAACAAATTAAAACCAATGTGGCTTAGTAGAGAAGTAAAACAAGAGATTAAAAATAAGAAAAGGGCATTTAAAGCATTTAAATCAGACAAATCAAAGGCATCCTATTTAAGATATAAGGAAGCCAATAACACTTGCAAAAAGGCAATTAAAGTGGCTAAACTAGAAAATGAGAAATTGATAGCTAAAGAATGCAAAACCAACCCCAAAATTTTTTTCAAGTACATCAATTCTAAAAAAACAAAAAATGAAAGTGTAGGTACACTTGAAACAGAGTTGGGTTTATTAGCTAATGAAGACCAGGAAAAAGCAGAAATTTTAAATAACTATTTTTCTTCAGTATATATTAATGAGGATCCTATGGCAAGAGATATGCAAATGTTTGCTGCAAAAAACTTGCAAATAACTTGTGACTGGATAACTCAAGACAAGGTGCTACAGCTATTAAAGAAAATTAATGTAAATAAAGCTCCGGGGCCTGACTGTATTCACCCATGAGTACTTAAGGAGCTAAGTGGGGAAATAAGTGAACCTCTGTATTTAATTTTTCAAGATTCTTTTGTTTCAGGTGTTGTACCGGAGGATTGGAGGAAGGCAGATGTTGTTCCTATATTTAAAAAGGGTTCAAAATCCTTGCCTGGAAATTATAGACCTGTGAGCTTAACTTCAGTAACTGGGAAAATATTTGAAGGGCTATTAAGGGATAATATTCAGGAATTCATTGGGAAGAACTTTATTAGCAATAATCAGCATGGTTTTATGAAACATAGGTCATGTCAAACTAACCTAATTGCATTCTATGAAGAAGTAAGTAGAAGTATAGATCAGGGTGTTGCAGTGGATGTGATCTACTTGGACTTTGCCAAGGCATTTGATACGGTTCCTCACAATAGGTTAGTCTTCAAACTAAAAGAAATTGGTCTAGATGAATATTCCTGTTCTTGGGTAGAACATTGGCTTAAGGACAGAGTACAACGAGTTGTAATTAATGGTAAATTTTCAGGCTGGACAAAAGTGGTAAGTGGTGTCTCTCAGGGTTCTGTTTTGGGACCACTTCTATTTAACATATTTATAAATGATCTTGAAATAGGCATTGAAAGCCATGTATCAGTGTTTGCAGATGACACAAAACTTTGTAAAGTAATAAAATGTGAGCAGGATATTGCTTTGCTGCAGAGAGATTTGGATAGATTGGGGGACTGGGCACTAAAATGGCAGATGAAATTTAACATAGAGAAATGCAAAGTTATGCACTTCGGGGTTAAGAATGCACAAGCAACTTAAACACTAAATGGTAGTGAATTAGGGATAACCACACACGAGACGGATTTGGGCATTGTTATAGACAACAAATTAGGCAGCAATATGCAATGTCAATCTGCAGTTGCTAAGGCCAGTAAGATTTTGTCATGTATAAATAGGGGCATAAATTCTCGGGATGAAAATATAATTTTGCCTCTTTATAAATCGCTGGTAAGACCACACCTTGAATATGCTGTGCAATTTTGGGCGCCTGTTCTAAAGAAGGATATCATGGCACTGGAGAGGGTCCAGAGACGAGCTACAAAATTGATAAAAGGAATGGAGCATTTTAGTTATGAAGAAAGGTTACAAAAATTAAATCTGTTTCGTTTGGAAAAACGGCGCCTGAGAGGGGATATGATAACTTTATACAAATATATTCGGGGCCAGTACAAACCTTTATCTGGAAATCTATTCATAAACAGGGTTATACATAGGACACGAGGTCACACATTTAGGCTGGAAGAAAGGAGATTTCATCTAAGGCAAAGAAAAGGTTTTTTTACAGTAAGAACAATAAGGATATGGAATTCTCTGCCTGAAGAGGTGGTTTTGTCAGAGTCCATACAGATGTTTAAACTGAAATTGGATAAATACTTACAAAAACATAACATACAGGGATATAATTTCTAATTAGTGGGGTAATAGCTGATTGATCCAAGGAGACATCTGACTGCTATTTTGGGGTCAAGAAGGAATTTTTTCCTAGTTTGTGGCAAAATTGGAAGTGCTTCAGACCAGGTTTTTTGCCTTCTTTTGGATCAACAGCAACAACATTTCTGAGGAAGGCTGAACTTGATGGACGCAAGTCTCTTTTCAGCTATGTAACTATGTAACAAACAACTAGTTTCTCTGTATGACAATATTGTGTTAAGCCATCAACTATATAACAGTACCTCAAAACAGTACCTCAAAACTAATGTAATTGTATTGTATGAAGAAGTTGATGTTTGCGAAGGCATTTGATACAGTTCCACACAAAAGGTTACTAGTAAAACAGTTGGTTGAGAGAAAAAATGTGTTCTTGGATAGAACACTGGCTTACAGATAAAGGGCAGAGAGTAATTGTAAATTGAACATTTTCAAATTGGATAAAAGTGGAAAGTGTAATGCCACAGGATTCTTTCCTGTGTCCACTTCTCTTTACTCTATTTATAAATGATCTTGTAGTTGACATAGAAAGTCATCAATCTGTGTTAGCAGATTACACAAAACTAGGTAAGAAAATACAGTCTGAACATGACATAACTTCTCTACCAAGGGATTTGGATGAATTGGGGGACTGAAGATGCAAGTGGCAGATGAGATTCAATACAGATTAATGGAAAGTCATGTATTTTGGAATAAGGAACCCACAAACCACTTATATATTAATTGGGGTAGAGTTAGGGATAACATTAAATGAAAGGAACTTGGGAACAATTATAGGTAAACTAGGCAACAGTATGTGTGACGAGAGCAATCTCGCCACATTGCATTGGAGAAGCCTGGTTGCTCGCCTGTTGCCTTTGGATTATGGCCCCATGTTAAAAGGCTTGATTTTCCCCTGCAAAGACAAGAAAGCCGGGTCATTTGGTGCTTGCCCTGTTTGAGCAGTGATACCCCAGATAGCTATGCCATGGAGCCCATTTGTATAATGAAAGACTATGGGAAAGACTTTGGTTCCATGGCAATTGAACTGTATGTGTGTGCTCTGAGCGCCATTCAGTAATAATGTGCGCTCAGACCTAAGCTATCTGGGCATATGTTGCATGTCTGTATTTTATGTCATAAATGTAACCATGTGTATTTTATTTTATTTTACTGTCTTTTTGCTGCCATGTGTTCAATGGAGTTTTGCCTCTGTCTTTGGAGATAATTGGATTACTTCTAATTATCTCCAGGATAGAAGACTCTGTGGAACTGGTTTTAAGCAGAAAAGGACTACGATCTATCTTTTGAACCACTGGACCAATTTGTATGATTTTGACATATGTTTGTATTTGGAGTATGCTGATTCTGAAAATGTAAGTGAATTTTGCATACTGAAGTTTATGTGAATGTGATGCACACTTTTCAAGTTATGAATATTGTGGAAAAATTGTATTTCTCTGCTTGTGCTAAATTACATTACCCATTGTGTAAGGTAATTGAATCACATGCAGAGGGGAGGAATTTGTGTGGGAGTGTCTGAGTGTATTGTATGTGTTTAATGGTTGTGTTCCAAAACCCTGTGGGTGGTACTAATGTGTAAGAATGTGTACATAAGAACAATAAACCCACAGCTCTGTCTGTTCACTGCTTGACCCACAACACGGAGCTTTGTCTCGATCTTGGGGGGATTTATTGTATGCGGTTCCAGTTCGACTGCTAGGAGTGTAAACCTACTCGTATGGTTTTACTTATTCGGCTGTTTACAGCATTCGTATGGTTTCCTGTTCGGCGGATTGGTGTTCTGCAGTAGCTGTGCCTGTGTCTCTGGAAGAGGAAGATCTACTAAACGGCGGTTTAACCCTTTTATGCTGAGGGTGCCGTTACAGTATGAAATGCTGGTCTACCGTTGTAAAAGATAATAAGGAACAGGTGTATATAAAAATGAGTTTTAATTCATATGATGTAAATATAATTTTGCCTCTCTACAAATCAATGGTAAGACCCCACCTAGAGTGTATAGTGCTATTTTATGCACTTGGTTTGAAAAAGAATATTGCAGCACTAAAAAAAAGTGCAGATGTGAAGGAGTGGAAATATTATTTATGAGGAAAGGCTCAAAAATTGAATTATTTTCTTAAGAAAATGGTGCCTCAAAGGGGAAATATAATAGCACTATACAACTATATGCAGGGTCAGTACAAACTGCTATATGCTAATCTGTTCATTAGCAGGAATATACCAGACAAGAGATCATCCATTAAGACTGGAAGAAATGCTTTTTTACTTACAGCGTGGGAAAGGGTTCTTCACACTAAGAACAATAAAGACATGGAATTATCTATCTAAAGAGGTTGTGTTATCAGATTTTAAAAATGTAAAAAAGGCTTGGATGCTTTTTTGCATAAACAGAATATTCAAGGATAAAATTGATATGTATATTAACTGGTTGTTGATCCAAGGATAAATATGATTGACATTATGGAGTCCGTTTTTGTGGCATATTTGGAAATGCCTGCTATTGGGTTAATCTTCTTTTGGATTTACAGCATAAAGGCTTTACAGCTGAACTTGATGGAATTTAGTATTTTTTCAACCTAGACAACTATGTAAATATGTATGTTACTCAAAACTTGCATTAGAATTTTCACTATGAAAGGGAACTAACCTATTGCACTCCAAAAACAAAGTGATCTGGCTGCAATGGCACTGTCCTTTTAACCAGGCAATGTAAACATTTCTGTTTTTTTTTTTTTTTTAGAAACTGTAATGTTAACATTGCAGGTTTAAGTCCACCTCTAGTTGTTCACTTCCTGGCAGCAATAAGAGGTGCTTTCACTGCGCTATATAAGTTACTCAGTCACATGTTGCGGAAGCATTGAATACATTGCTTTCCCATGGGGAAGCATGAATTCACGTACGCCACTCACCACGCATGCACATCAGGTCCACATTGGACCATCGGTGGAGGAGACCATACCTCTTCAATGATATTGGGGGAGATGGAAAGGTAACAGTGAAAAGGGGGGAGATCTGTATCTAGCCACTAATAGAGGAACTATACTCTTAGGAATACAGATTTGTATTCCTTTAATATATAAAATCCTGAATATTTTTATTTTGAATTGTGCTTGACTTTTTTAATATTTATGCTTAGATAAACATGGAATTAAAATGTTATCTACAATATAGTCTACTAATAACTTAAATAACTAAGTCAACCTACTTCTATATAATAGGTGACACAGGAATCTTGAAATCACTAGTCCAGTCTATGTTATCAGCTTGTTCACAGACATACATAAGTTAAGAAAATCACTGTTACATTTTTATTTTAGTAGAAGGCAAAACAGATTTTATATTTGTGTGTTTATGTAAGTCCATTGTATACGTCTCAGAAAACATTGCATTTAATTTCTCAGCTATTAGATAAGAATGTCAGTAGTCAGATACTGCATAACTAAATCTGTTTTAAGGCATTGAAGACATTTACATTTCCCAGATAGACAGACATATTATATATTTACTGTGGTACTACATAAAAGACCAATCACACATTTAATTTTTATATGCTGCATACAATATTAGCTTATCTTGCATATATTAAGTTTACGGGGAAAGCAGCATGTAACACAACAGTCATAACAATTATATATATTTAATATATAAACAACTGTATCATACACAAGAGAAGTAATCTGTTTAGCAGCATTATAAATAGTTGTAGCCTTTTTAAACATGCAACAGTTTACACCTTTGGCATAATAACCTTGTATTTCCAAACTGAAGCAATTATAGAATATTTACTTTGGTATTGAATTATTGTTATGTATTTATTGATTTATTTATTTTAATTGTATAATTTTTTTATTTGTATTATGAATGTAAGCATTTAATATTTAACTTCTGTTAGTTGCTGATTTTTTACAATTTTTTTTTTTTTTTTTTTTTACTGAACTCACTAATGGCAAATGAGAATATTCCGGCCAACAAGTTCTGTGAATCTTTTTCTGGACTGA